TCCCCATAGGAAATGACTTGGGACATTTTTGGCCGCTTTTTCGTCCGCTGTGCGAACATCGTACACCCGATCTCTTAGAAAAGTCATAGCACACCATTCCCGAACAAGCCGCACGTTTTGACACCTCTCTTATGGGTCTGTGACAAAAGCTGCGGGAGGAGTAGCGCGCCGAAATTTGTACGGAATAAGAAGAAGAAGTAGAGGAAAAATAACTAGAAAAAAAAGTTTGATGACAAACTTTAAGTTGGCTTGAGAAAGCCGGACCAGAGCGTTTGAAGTTTTGAAGTTTGAATGAAGTTTTAAAGATAGATTAGAAAGAAAGAAAGAAAGATGGATAGATTAGTTAGAAAGAAATATAGATAGATAGATAGATAGATAGATAGATAGATAGATAGATAGATAGATGTTTTCGGCAAGAATCTAACATGATTAGCATGTAGCTAGCTTGATGCTAATTTGATTAGCATGTAGTTAAGATGATTAGCATGTTGTTAGCATGATTAGCATGTAGCTAGCATCATAATAGCATGATTAGCATGTTGCTAGCATCATGCTAACGTGTTTTTATCAAGAAGCTAGCATGACTAGCATGTAGCTAGCATCATGCTAACCTGATTAGCATGTTGCTAGCATCATGCTAGCATGTTTTAGCAAGAAGCTAGAATGATTAGCATGTAGCTAGCATCATGCTAGCATGATTAGCATGTAGCTAGCATCATGCTAGCATGATTAGCATGTTGCTAGCATCATGTTAGCATGTTTTTAGCAAGAAGCTAGCATGATTAGCATGTAGCTAGCATCATGCTACCATGATTAGCATGTAGCTAGCATCATAATAACATTATTAGCATGTTGTTAGCATCATGCTAACATGTTTTTAGCAAGAAGCTAACATCATTAGCATGTAGCTAGCATCAAGCTAGCATGATAAGCATGTTTTTAGCAAGAAGCTAGCATGACTAGCATGTAGCTAACATCATAATAGCATGATTAGCATGTTGCTAGCATCATGCTAGCATGTTTTAGCAAGAAGCTAGCATGATTAGCATGTAGCTAACATCATAATAGCATGATTAGCATGTTGCTAGCATTATGCTAGCATGTTTTTAGCAAGAAGCTAACATGATTAGCATGTAGCTAGCATCAAGCTAGCATGATTAGCATGTTTTTAGCAAGAAGCTAGCATGACTAGCATGTAGCTAACATCATAATAGCATGATTAGCATGTTGCTAGCATCATGCTAACATGTTTTTAGGAAGAAGCTAGCATGATTAGCATGTAGCTAGCATCATGCTAGCATGATTAGCATGTTGCTAGCAAGAAGCTAGCATGATTAACATGTAGCTAGCATCATGCTAGCATGATTAGCATGTAGCTAGCATCATAATAACATGATTAGCATGTTGCTAGCATCATGCTAGCATGTTTTTAGCAAGAAGCTAGCAGGATTAGCATGTAGCTAGCATCATGCTAGCATGATTAGCATGTAGCTAGCATCATAATAACATGATTAGCATGTTGCTAGCATCATGCTAGCATGTTTTTAGCAAGAAGCTAGCATGATTAGCATGTAGCTAGCATCATGTTAGCATGATTAGCATGTAGCTAGCATCATGCTAGCATGTTTTTAGCAAGAAGCTAGCATGATTAGCATGTAGCTAGCATCATGCTAGCATGATTAGCATGTAGCTAGCATCATGCTAGCATGTTTTTAACAAGAAGCTAACATGATTAGCAGAAAGCTAGCATGATTAGCATGTTATTAGCATCAAGAAAGAAAGAAAGAACGAAAGAGAAAGAAAGAATTTTTAGAAAGAAAGATGCATAGATTAGTTAGAAAGAAAGATGGATAGATTTGTTAGAAAGAAAGCTGGATAGATTAGTTAGAAAGAAAGATGGATAGATTTGTTAGAAAGAAAGAAAGAAAGAAAGAAAGAAAGAAAGAAAGAAAGAAAGAAAGAAAGAAAGAGAAAGAAAGTATTGTTAGAAAGAAAGATGGATAGATTACTTGGGTAGAAATAAAGAACGATAGATTTGTTAGAAAGAAAGATGGATAGATTAGTTAGAAAGAAAGATGTATAGATTTGTTAGAAAGAAAGATGGATAGAATTGTTAGAAAGAAAGATGGATAGATTAGTTAGGTAGAAAGAAAGAACGATAGATTTGTTAGAAAGAAAGAACGATAGATTATTTAGAAAGAAAGATGGATAGATTAGTTAGAAAGAAAGATGGATAGATTAGTTAGAAAAAAAGATGGATAGATTTGCTAGAAAGAAAGATGGATAGATTTGTTAGAAAGAAAGATGGATAGATTTGTTAGAAAGAAAGATGGATAGATTAGTTAGGTAGAAAGAAAGATGGATAGATTAGGTAGAAAGAAAGATGGATAGATTTGTTAGAAAGAAAGATGGATAGATTAGTTAGAAAGAAAAATGGATAGATTAGTTAGGTAGAAAGAAAGATGGATAGATTATGTAGAAAGAAAGATGGATAGATTTGTTAGAAAGAAAGATGGATAGATTAGTTAGAAAGAAAAATGGATAGATTTGTTAGAAAGAAAGATGGATAGATTAGGTAGAAAGAAAGATGGATAGATTTGTTAGAAAGAAAGATGGATAGATTAGTTAGAAAGAAAAATGGATAGATTAGTTAGGTAGAAAGAAAGATGGATAGATTAGGTAGAAAGAAAGATGGATAGATTTGTTAGAAAGAAAGATGGATAGATTAGGTAGAAAGAAAGATGGATAGATTTGTTAGAAAGATGGATAGATTAGTTAGAAAGAAAAATGGATAGATTAGTTAGGTAGAAAGAAAGATGGATAGATTAGGTAGAAAGAAAGATGGATAGATTTGTTAGAAAGAAAGATGGATAGATTAGGTAGAAAGAAAGATGGATAGATTTGTTAGAAAGAAAGATGGATAGATTAGGTAGAAAGAAAGATGGATAGATTAGGTAGAAAGAAAGATGGATAGATTAGGTAGAAAGAAAGATGGATAGATTTGTTAGAAAGAAAGATGGATAGATTAGTTAGAAAGAAAGATGGATAGATTTGTTAGAAAGAAAGATGGATAGATTTGTTAGAAAGAAAGATGGATAGATTTGTTAGAAAGAAAGATGGATAGATTAGTTAGGTAGAAAGAAAGATGGATAGATTAGGTAGAAAGAAAGATGGATAGATTTGTTAGAAAGAAAGATGGATAGATTAGTTAGGTAGAAAGAAAGATGGATAGATTAGGTAGAAAGAAAGATGGATAGATTAGGTAGAAAGAAAGATGGATAGATTAGGTAGAAAGAAAGATGGATAGATTTGTTAGAAAGAAAGATGGATAGATTAGGTAGAAAGAAAGATGGATAGATTTGTTAGAAAGAAAGATGGATAGATTAGGTAGAAAGAAAGATGGATAGATTAGTTAGAAAGAAAGATGGATAGATTTGTTAGAAAGAAAGATGGATAGATTAGGTAGAAAGAAAGATGGATAGATTAGGTAGAAAGAAAGATGGATAGATTAGTTAGAAAGAAAGATGGATAGATTTGTTAGAAAGAAAGATGGATAGATTTGTTAGAAAGAAAGATGGATAGATTTGTTAGAAAGAAAGATGGATAGATTAGGTAGAAAGAAAGATGGATAGATTAGGTAGAAAGAAAGATGGATAGATTTGTTAGAAAGAAAGATGGATAGATTAGGTAGAAAGAAAGATGGATAGATTTGTTAGAAAGAAAGATGGATAGATTAGGTAGAAAGAAAGATGGATAGATTTGTTAGAAAGAAAGATGGATAGATTAGGTAGAAAGAAAGATGGATAGATTAGTTAGAAAGAAAGATGGATAGATTTGTTAGAAAGAAAGATGGATAGATTTGTTAGAAAGAAAGATGGATAGATTTGTTAGAAAGAAAGATGGATAGATAGATAGATAGATAGATAGATAGATAGATAGATAGATAGATAGATAGATAGATAGATAGATAGTTCATTAGTACATATAGAATGGTAGTTTAATTGAGTCTAGGGCTTCAGGGAATTTAGATTTGAGTTTTTGTTGTACGCTATTGGGCCACCGTAGTCTTGGCTCAATTTGACCATGCTGCAATGAAAGTCAATGGGATTTTTATGATTTTTAATATTAATTTTTAAGAAATCTGAAAGTCGAATCAGTCTAAAAAGATATAGCACACTAAGTCAGAACAGTCTGAAGGTCTGACCCGAGTTTGGAGTTTGTAGAGTCAAAGCTCTAGGAGGAGTTAGAGTCAGAAAATTTTGAGTAAGAAGAATAATAATAATAATAATAATAAGTTTAAATAGGATTTCAGTAAGTTGGCTTTCTCAAGCCAACTTAATAAGTATGCAGGATAACAATAGTGTTGCTTTGCAAGCACCACTAACTAGAACGTACATTTCCAGAGGAAAATGTGAAGTGGTGCTTGCAGTGGCAAAAAGCTCGCTCGGTTGCTAGAGTGTGGTACATGATTGCATACGAGACACCAAACATGTCTGTACAATGTTTGTGTGATGATAAAAAACACAAAAAGTATACCATACAACACCATCTCATAACAGCGATCTCTCGAAGCCAACAATGCTGATCAGGTCACGATTTATTGGAATACCAAAAGAAATAATGATTCTGTATAAATGTATTGATATATCTCCAATTATGCAATTTCGGTGAAGAAACATAAACTGGAGCAGACCTATCTGCTTATATACATACACACACATACATTAGCCTCATAGCCTAATTGCCTTGAACATATTTCAAATAAACATGATTTAGGCAATTATGCTATGAGGCTAATGTATGTTGTCATTCTTTTAAAACAACTTTTGATTGATTGTTGATACCCTATAATTGTTGCGGTACTGATTTGTAATATAAAGACATTTTAAATGTAAGCTTTTAAATGACCCTCTTACCATCATACCTGGTCTTCTCTGAAGTTCACAAGAAAATACTCTTAACGTGTAAAATTCAATAAAGACAAAAATGCTGGATTAACCAATTCAACAAAATGTTTATTCAAGATTTATAAAAACGCCTGTTGTGCCAAATCCCACCCAGCCAATGATTAGATCCTATTGTGATGTTATTAGATTATAATTGTTAGATCTACTTCATATTAAAATTAGTTTTACAGCATCATCTTTAAGATTATAAAAATAAAAACAGAAATGCATTCTGTGGCAAATAATACAATTAATATTTGATAAAGAAGCTTATCTGATAACTTATTTTACATAATGTTGTAAATCCTTCACTTTTCAAAATTCTTGTTTTAAATTCTTCACTTGTCTCATTTCTAACCCTAAACTTTAATTTTAACAGAATACTGGTAAAAATTTCTACTCACTAAAGTAACTTTTAAATAAAAAACTGTTTTACTGTCGATGATTTGGTGTATTGCTGCGTGCATTTATAAAAAGGAATGATCTCATAACTCCAGTGAAGTCATGATTTACACTGATCTCAGAATATTTGAACAACGCTGTTAGCTGTTCTGATATCACTATATACAACGGCTTCACAGGGCTCACAGCTTTAAGTGCTAAGCTATAACATGATTTAATTTTGATTTCAAATTAATTTAATTTACATTTGTATGTAAACATTTACATTTAAATAATAATAACATACCCATCAATTTGCAAACCATTGTTTTGGAAACCCTGGTCGGTAGGGACCTGGAAGGGATAGGACCTGGCACAACACCCCCATTGAGCAAGCCAGTGGCGACAGTGGCAAGGAAAAAAAACCTCCTTAAGGGAGATTAAAAAAAACCTTGAGAGAAACCAGACTCGTCAGGGGGGGGCCCATTCTCCTCTGGCTCGGCGTACACATAATAACTTTATTTAAGCAAATATATGATATATTAATATATATATAGAGTGTGTAAGCAATTATTTAATATGATAGTAAAATCATTAATGAATATATTAAAATGAATTAATTGTGCATCCAATGTTGATATGCAATATGGTGTAATGGAGCATCTCCCGCCATCTAGCCACTGGAACTGGCCCTGCAAACAGGCTGGATATCCTGAGGTAGAGGAGGTAAAACAAATATTATAATAATAGTGAATTTTCTGATTCTCCAAGACGTATGGAGCGTAAAGTTTGTATCTCGCAAGAGACAATTTTTGAACTCTCACCTCTGAGATCATACACTTTTAAACAATCTAAGCTTTTAAACAAACCATTGTATGATAAGATGCACTGAACACTAGACCTTATCAGAAAGATCGATAAACTTGTAAAAATGCTCTTGTTTTTGAATGAGTGGGTAGCTCTGAGAAGAGCCGTTGTTGCCTTTAAAAAGGCATTTGGTTTCAACTTTGGAGTTCCACCCGCAGAACATTTGTCAGGTTTGCTCAGGAGAAGCTGGTTTCCCTCTGCGCTCAGGTGAACTGTGTCTCTGATGTTTCTATGCTGAATGGCACGCATCTGTCTCCCTGGATATCCTGAGAGATAAAACATATATGATAATGTTAGTAAATTTATTTGAAATGTTCAGATTCTCCAAGACTTAATGAGCAGCATAGTTGATGGGTCAGATGTAAGCCTTTATTTTTTACACCAAATCATACATCTTTTCCTGCATTTTTAACTATTTTAGCATTTATTAATCTTTGTTAGTGATTTTTACATTTACTAATATGGTACATTGTTCAAATCAAAAGTTGTAAGTGTTGACATTAGTAAATGCAGTGAACTAACATGAATAAACATTGAACAGCAGTTTTAAAATAAATAATATTGTCAAAAAGTTCATACTGCAGTGATTAAAATCATAAAGCACATTGTTGTTAGCTAGCTGTTAATTTTATTCAATTGTTAGGTAATATGCTAGAAAATTAAGACTATTAGTTAAAAGAAACCTTTTGATGCAATTATTTTTAGTTTAACTTTTTAATAGCAATATGATTATATAACAAAATTATGAAATCCAGTGGTAAAATCTTTTTTTTAATAAGAGAGCAAGATAGGACAACAGTGTCTGTTGGCCACCAACAAAGACATTTTTTGACCCAGGAAAAACCCTGAAACCATTGTATAACAAAATGCACTAAAACACTACACCTTATCAGTAGTATTGACCTCAGTGTGCTTCTTCCTCTGCTTCTTCATTCTTCGGAGTTGTCTTCAATGCCGTAGATATTTGGACCTCTTCTCTGGGTATGAAATGAATAAATGAACAATGGGATCACTAAAACACCCGTACTAATAAACAGAAATAAAACAACAAAAAACAAAAAGCTTACGGAAAGAAATTGGCACATAATCTGGTATCCAGCTCGTCATCGTCATTGATGTAGCACACGTGATCTTCTCAGACAATCTCACTTCATTTGGCTGGTTCCTAAAAAACATAAAAATCAAAATTAGAGGTTCAAATATAACATTTCCATTCAAACGCAGTTATGAAAAGCAGTGGTACACAGACTGAAATAAAATCTTTTAACACTTAGCTTTAGAAGGTATATTGCACACTCATATCCAGACACGACTGCTATGGTCTCCCAATTCTTCCTGCAACTTTACAGAAGGGCACATATCAGTCATAGAATAGCAGGGGACTGCATATCCCGCACAGATTGGCACAAATTGGGTAGATTGAACAATTGAAATTAAAATGTATGTTATAAGGTCAAAATCAAACATTACAGTGGCATCTTGCTACTTCTCTCTGTCCCTTGTCTTTTATTACTTACTGCCACTGTCGCTCTGACTGTCTATGTCCTCCCTGGAGCTGTCACACTCCTCCTCCGTCCTTCCTGCTGCTGCTGAGGGTGCTCCTTCTTCGTAGCTCAGTGGTATAAACCCTTGGCATGACCTAACCGCAATCTCCTAATCACAATCTCTAACACCACAATCTAACCACAACACGACCATACGCGCCAACCCGTTTGATGAAGGCTTTCAAAGCCCCGCTGATGTGATGTATCCAGGTCCATTGGCAACGGTTCCGTATGGCATACTACCCGACAACCCGACCATACGCGCCCAACCGTTCGTTTTATAAGGCTGTCGAAGCCCCACTGGTGCGTTAAGCAGTTTCAGTGGCAAACGGTTCCGTATGGCATACTAACCTAGCACCAAACACAACAATATCTGTCCACTAAAAAAAAACTCATTTACGCAAAACACAGTACACGGGATTGTGATAGCTATGATAGGTATGCAAGACACCTGACTGAAGGCACAAATCCGGATGAGAGACGTAAATGTGATCCAATAGAGTGTTCTTTTTGGTTGTTGCTGTGGTGATCAGTTGTGTGTATCCTTTGGACTGAAACAGTTCCAGAACAGTTTTATTCCCAGCGCAGAGGTGATCCTCATTAAAATCTCCACAGATTATTGCGGGATGTTCGTCCACGATGTCCAAATAATCCAGCAGACTCTTCAAGTTCTTCGAGAACTCTTCAAAACCGTAGTGTGGAGGCCTGTACACGGCAGCGATTGTCGCTTTGATCGGGCTATCTACTTTGATGACGACATACTCCAGATCGGTCACATTTTGAATAAACTGCCTAGGCTGAGCTGAAATATGCCCTTTGCAATATATTGCGACTCCACCGCCAGCTTTCTGCGCGATTTCTCGGTGTGTCGAGTAGGAGACGTGTCTGTTACGCAGAAACACGTTGTATCCTTCTAATTGGACTTGGGGTGTAATGACCGATCCGGTTAGGTGAGTTTCCGTCATGCAAAGAATGTCCGATAGCAGCAGTTCATGATGGCATCTGATGTCTTCAATATGGGAGGACAGTCCTTCTGTGTTGTGATGAATGATGGTGAGTGTTTGGTCCATGTTGTTTTCCCTCACCTGCTGCAAAAGTGGCATGATTCCGTCGAATGTTGCTCTTGTCATATTTTCCAACGAGGCTGTGACTGTAGGATCAGCATAGATCTTCTTCTCATCGAACTCTGTGATGTGCAATCCACGAAGCGAGGTCGTTCTGCTGAGGGCAACGTAGGCCATTCCGGGCTCGAAAATCTTCTTCAGCGACACCACGGCATTCTCCATTGTCATGCCTTGGACTTTGTGAGCTGTGCAGGCGTAGGCTAGCTTGATGGGGAATTGTCGACGAACTGCTCCTTTTCTAAGAGGTTCTTCGGATCTATCGATGTAAACCAAGTCGTCTTCTTCACCTTGCACCCTTCTGCGGTTCTTCCTGCCTGCGTTGGGATTGTCGAGCTGAAGTCCTAGCATTTGCACGGTGTCGATTCCGTCTTTTGTCTTCTTGACGATGTAAGAAATTTTCCCGAAACAACCGTTGACCAATCCGTCTTCGACGTCCAGGTTCCTAGTCACCATTATGCGTACTCCCAACGCAATTTGTATGGTGTCAGGCAAGTCGTCCTTTTTTCCGGTGATGGGCTTCTTTTGTCTCTTCATTCCTCCTGTTCTTGGGTCTTTCCTGTAGTCTTCGGCATCGATGGTTATGATGTCGGTGTGAAGAGCATGGATTGTTTTGGTATTGTGTCCATGAACTTCCTTGTTGGTGGCAAATACGTGCAGTGCATCACACGGGCAGTCGTTGGGGTCCTTCACAGCCTGGAGTAACAAAGCTCTATCTTCTTCGGAAAGATCGTCTGTCTTCTGCTTTACCCGTAGGCGGTTTAAAAGTTGGGCAAAAGCCAGGTCTTCTTTCTGACGCATGATCTCGGTGAGGGTAATCATTTGGAAATGATCTTTCCAAAAGTCCAGGACATCCTCTTCATACACGCAGAGTGGTTTGGCTTTACCCAGAGGTGGCAGTTGATAAAAATCTCCCACGGCGAGGACAGAGATTCCACCGAAGGGTTTCTTGCTGCCTTTGATTTGCTGACATCTCCAGTTTATGTAAGCAAAAAGGTCCTTCGAAATCATGGACACTTCATCGATGATTAGAATCTCCACGTCGCGTAGTGTTGCTCGAAGCTCATCTAGTGCGTTTCCAAGTCCTTGATACGGTGGCTTCAGATTCCTCGGAAGTTTCAAAATGGAATGCAACGTTTTGCCAGAAATGTTGAATGCTGCGGTTCCAGTAAACGCACTCAAGAGGACCGTAGGCACGGACAGATCTCCTTCCTCCCGCAGACGAGGCAGTTGTCGTAGAATCTTGGTCGCTTCCGTGTATATGCACTTGATGACGTGTGATTTGCCACAACCAGCACCACCTGACACGAAGTAGAAAAACTGTTCTGGATTATGACCCCACACACGTTTCTGACACCACTGGCAGACCGTGTAGAATATGGCTGCCTGCGTCTCGTTTAGACTCCTAAACAAGCTCCTGATGAATTCAACGCTCATCTGCGGTGCCTCGATTTGTGGCACGACTCCGTCTCCGTGTTCAAGAATCTGAAATTCCGGGACATCGTCTTCTACACTCTCATCATCCGGATTGATGTCTTGTCGTTCTGCGACGCACTCTAAACGATCCACTTCAATTTCAGGTGCAAAAGCGGTCCATGCGTTTTCGGATGGCCCTTGCTCTTGCAGCTGATCGTACGCCTTATCCACCTCGTCGCTGTGTTTTTCGAATTTTTCCTTGTGTGCTTGGACGACGGCGCAGACAGGGAAAAGCAAACCAGGATTTGCCCAGGGTAGTTCCACGTTAGCACTCTTGTAAAATGCTTCATATGTCGGAAATCTAGGCGGTTTTAGCTGTTCGTTGCTCCGGTGTGGCATATAAAGCTTAAGTAATCTAGAGTAAAATTTTTCGGGTTGTTTTTCCTCCGAATAACGTGCATACCTAATAACTGCTGCCTTTCCCGTTCTTTTCTGAAAAAAACCCATGCCGTTGAGCAGCCGGTGAACGTTCTTGCCTTTTGTTTGTTGACCGTACACGATGCGGTACTCCGAAGCAAAATCTGCCAGACAAATCTTCTCAAAGTCACGCGTTAGAGGCCTTGCTCTGTATTTCTCGATCATCCCTGACATCCATACATCCTCAGAATCGGGATTTTTATTTTGTAGGACGCTTAAGGGAAGACTCATCTTTAGCGCGTCATCATCCGTCGGTAGAAACACAACACTTCGTGAACACTTCTTCAACGGTAAGCTGCATGTTCGTGCCACAGACTCCTGAGCGCTAACCTGCCTATGTTTGGAGTAGGCTTGCATTATCTGCTTCATCTCATCTTCCTCGCTAACGTTCGTCTCGCGCACGCTCTGGATCACGTTCTTCAGTAAATCGCCCATCTCGTGCTCCGGTTTAGAAATATACGAAAGCATATACATAACGCAGCTAAAAGCGTCTAGAACGAACTGAATGTCCATATTAGCATTCCATGCCCTCAACAAATCGGGATTGTATCCATTCACCCAGGACTCCTTTGGATCACGCTTCAGCAGAATCACGTTGGCATTGGACAATGCTTCGACGTTCTCGTTGTAGTCCTTGATGGACAAATTACACTCTGTCAGTAGCGCTGACAAGCTGTCAAAGGAGGCTTGGGGGTCATTCAACAGATCCCACACCGGCTTGAGTTTTGACCTAGCTTCGCTCATTGCCTTTTGAGCAGCCTCCCGTCTCAACTTCCGTCGTTCTTCTTGCTCCTGGGCTTTCCCACGCTCTTCTTCAGGACGTTGTGGTTGTGCGGCTTTAGACGCAAACATGCAGCTTCCAGATGGAGAAGTGTCCGTGTCATCCTCTTCTTCAGGACGCTGTGGTCGCGGACGAGTGATCGTGGTGCTAGACACCGGTAGTTTGGGGAACCCAAAGCGACACAATACATTTCCCTTCTTACAGGACTTTGAGTGGTTCCTGCTGTGAAGCTGGACCTCTGTGACGATCCGATGAAGCTCAGGATCAGCCGAGGAATCGGGCAACTGGCAGGTTATGTAGCGGTCAATAAAGTCGCAGACATCCTTATCAGAGTCATTTTCAAACTCGGGAGCGTCCTTTATCCAAACAAGAAGATGGATATGTGGGCTTCCTCTAGCTTGAAACTCCACTCGGTAAAAGTAGTCCTCAACTTTACCAATGGGTTGGGCAGGCGACAAAAGCAGATGAGTCATTAGCGCATCCACCCTTTTCTCAAACATACGCATGACAGTGACTGGGTTGCTTCGGAGGATTTCGCACTTGGTCGTCCAGTCAAGCTCGGAAAAGTCGACGTGTTCACCTTGCTGGGCCTTGATTGCTGTTATTACTTCAGGCCATCTCATTTCGGCGGCACTGAACGTGCAAAAAAACGTAGGGGTTCCTAACTGTCTTATCATAGCCTGTAGATCTCTCAACGTTTTCTCCCAATACGACGGAGAGCCTCTCAGTGGTTGCATGAACCGTGTGGCATCTCTGTTATGTACCAATCTTTCAATCTCCCGGTTGTCTTGAAGCATGCTGTTCGAAATTCTCCGGCCGTCTCTTGTGACGGGTTTGCCTTTTCGTAACTGGATAGACATGCTGTTTCTAGCCAGATGCGTTTCCGTGACAAACTGTGCAAAGAAAAGATAACTCTGATCTTTCGCAAAACGCGTGTCCACGCTGAACAATCTGGCGTTGAAATACATACTGGGAGATATTGAAATTTGTCTTTCCTCATCAATGGAATTCTGTCCAGTGGGGAACTGAACAGGGAACGCCATGGCTTCCAGCTTTGGGATTTTGAAAAATCCAACAGGCTTATGTGCTTGTGCAGGTGCGATACTAAATATTCCCTCACCGTACGACAAGATCTCTTGTCCGATGTCAGGCGGTTGCATGCACGTGTCTAATGTGAGGCCGGGTCGAAGCTCGTCCTTTTCCTCGACGCTAACGTGTTGCTCATCGGCTTCCGTTTGAATCTCATCCTGCTCGGCAGCATTGGCTTCTATTTGCATCTCAGAGACATCAGCTTCCTCGTCTAGATGACTTTCAGAGATATCAGCGTCCTCGTCTAGGGGACTTTCAAATACAGCACTATCTCTTATGGAGATATCCCTGTATTCCGAATGCACTGCTTTCAGCTTCGTTAAAGCTGCAAGCACGTTGTGCATATTCACCGTGTTGAACTGCTGATATCCTTTGAAGTTCACACGTCTCTTCAGCTTCACCTGCAGCAGCTGGGCCTCACTTCTTGGTCTTGGCAGAGAGTTGACAGTGTTTTCCATCTCGGAGGGCACACACACAACGGCACCACGTACTGCTCTCTGCTGTCCTTTGGGTAGTGTAACTATTTTTGCAAATGGTAAAATTTTTGCAATGAGTTGACGTTCAAGGACATTTAAGTCATCCAATTCCGCAGGGATTGGCGGCAACTCCATTTTGTTGGCTGCTGCAATTGAAGACATCTGTCCTCTCTTGAGGTGGCTGTCACAAGTGGGGCAAATCCACTCCTGTTTTCTCTCTTCCGGAACTACACAGGAACCTGAGCAGGCACTATCACACGTGTGAACATACTTGCCTGTTAGG